ATAATAATAATAATAATAATTCAGTATATTTGTGTATTCTTATGTATTTATTGAATTTTTAAAATATTTTTTTATAAATATTTTACTGTTTAAGTGCATCTAAGTTATGTATATCTAGAAAGTAAAAAATTAATTAAAATATTTTTAAAATTCACTATAAAAAAAACATGAAATAAAAAAAATTCAATTTTCAAAAAATCAATTAAAATAAAACAAAACAAGGTGATTAAGTGTTGGATCAATTTCATAGGGAATAATGGTTAATTATAATGTGATGAAATAGAATAAAATGTCATTCTTAGGCTCCTATGGAATCCATTGCAATGGTAAATGTAAATGAAATATCCATTTGCAATGTATTTGTAATGTGAGATGGCCCCACTAATTTACGAACTTGGTTAAAAGTTCATTTTTGGCCTTTTAGCCTGTTCTGAGTCATATCTTAACCTACTTCCTAGGGGTGTTTACGGGTCGAGTTGGCTCGGATTTGTGATGGACTCGTCATCTGAATCGCCTTTATCAGGTTAGAGATTTCTTCATCCACTTTCGACTGCACTGTTGTTTGAAACCACACACTTCGAAACTGATTTTGGCAATCAGATTTCAGTTTGGAAAACAAGTTGGATAGATCTGCTGACCTTACCATTTTCTCTTTCAAACTCTAATATATACATACATATGCATAGATATTCCAATTTGAAAGAGAGTGAAGAAACAGAAAAATAAAAAAAAAATTAAAGTGATATTTGTAACAGCCTTGCACGTCTCTCCCTCACTCACGGGATCCTCCTCCTCCACAGATCACATCGTCATCATAAAACAAAGAGATAAAGCAATCAAATGGAGACACACACACACACACACACACACACATATATATATATATATATATATATTCATCTATAGGTTTAGATTATTGATTTCTGACCAAAGTTGCTTCTTCAATGTCCTCTGCTTTTAAAATCACCGTTATAAGAACTCTTTGGTTTGTATGAGAAGGTGAGTGTGAGAGGGAGATGAGGGGTTTCGAGAGTGAAGGAGTTGAGGATTAAAAATTTATAAAATTAGAGAGTTTGAAGGAGAAAAAAACAAGAGAGAGAGAGAGAGACTATAGAGAAGTAGAATAAGAGAGACAAATTGTGAAGAGAAGGCTATGAATGAGCTCCAAGATTCTCTAGAGTAATACGTCTGCAGTCATCTCCTATCGTGAAAGACAAGCAGCTGACACGTGGCCCACTCACCAAACCAAGGGCTGAGATTTAAACTCACCAAAATGACGTCGTTTTGGTGAGTAAATTGAAAAAAAAAATTCAAAATTCAAAATTTCACTTTTCACTTTGTTTCTGGGGAAGAGTTAGAGAGAGAGAGAGAGAGAGAGAGAGAGAGAGGAGAGAAGAGGCGAAGCCATCTCGCCCCGCCCTTTCTCATCTCGACGCTCTACCGCCACTGTTGCCACTCTACTGCCGACACCTTCCCCGCCATACTCCAACAGTTTCACTTTTCTTTTCTTTGCTTTTCTCTGATATGTGCTTGTATTCATACATACATAAATATATATATATATATATCCTATTTAGGAGTTGGGTTTGTGAATATTTCTTTTTATTTTTTTGTATTTGTTTTTGATTTCTTTAGATTTTTTGAGTTGGGTTTCTGTGGATTTCTTTGGATTTATATATATATATATCCTTTTTTATTTCTTTGTGATTTTTTTGGATTTTTTGTGAATATATCCCATTTAGAAGATAAACCCACCTCCATGCATTCTCCTTTCAATTTGATGCCCAAGTTACTAGAAGAGAGAAAGACAAGAAGAATGAGAGAAGAACATAAACTCATAACTTGATGCCTTATCTCCAATGCCAGATACAGTGTTTTCTTCCTCCAAAACCCACCTCCATGCCTTCTCTCTTCAATTTGATGCCCAATAACTTGCTAGAAAAAAAAATACAAATACAAGCACAAATCCACAGAGGTGGGTTTTTCTTCTTGTCTTTCTCTCACTCTGCTTTTTCAAAGCCCTAATATTTTCAGTTTAGAGGATGATGGTGGTGTGGCAGCAACGGTAGTGCGTCGGGGGTGGGAAAGGGCGTGGCGGCGATGTCCTCCTCATCTTCTCTCTCTCTCTCTCTCTCTCTCTCTGTGTGTAAGTCTTCACAGGAACAACTTGATGTTGAAATCTTTTTTTTTTTTTAAAAAAATTGCTCACCAAAACGAGGCTTAATATTTTCCCTTAGATGAATCACTTTAGGAGATCACTGTTGGATTCACACTCTAGAGGATCTTAACGCTATGAATGAGCTGAATGATGAGTCTCAGAATAAAAATTTTATTAAAAAAATAATAATTATGACACTAGGCTTTGGGATAGACACCTAGGCTGGCAGTCCACTTTTCTAAAAATATAATTATGATGACTACTCTTCTTTTTAAAAATTTCAGTGTATTGGATAGAGTGTAGAGATTAACTTTTGAGAAAATATAAATATAAAATTAATAAAATATAAAGATGCAATCTGTCTAGCAAACAAAACTATGGAGTAATGCTAGAGTTCTCAAACAATCTACCAAATGTTTTACAAAACCTCTCACATAGGTGTAAGACCCACACACGTGGGTTTATGTGAATCCCACACCCATGTGAGAGATTTTGTAAAACATTTAGTAGATTATTTGGGGTCTCTAGAATTTTCCAAAACTATGACATGCATAGAATATATTATAATTAATTATGTCGGTCAGTTTGGGTTTTATGATTTTTGGTCTTAGGAAACCATGACTCAATCGATATTCTGGAAAAATTTGAATTTCTCAATCGCAACTGTCACGATCCAACCCTCGCATCAAGGGATTAGAGATGTGATCAGCTAGTAATTCAAGATTACCAATGGCCTCTTAAACAAAATCACAGTAATAGGGACTTGCAGAAGCATACAAATTAAAATAAATTGTCCAATGAATTGTACAGACTTATGTGAAACAAAAGATACATCTATAATACATACATGAGTATACATCACAACCTTGTCAAGGATTAGGGCTTAACCCTTCATACAGTAACGTTATCATTATCCTTTAAACTTTATCACAGTACAAACCAAGAGGGAAAAACTCCTTAACACAAAAAGCCTTAATACTTGACATTTTCGGAACCTCGACGTGAGGCACAAAGGTTGGCTTCTCAAAAACAGAGTCTAGACAGACACCTTTAAGCCCGGTCTTGCACTTGATCACCTACGTACATATATATAAAAGGTGATCTGGAGCCCAGTGAATAACAACGTAAATGAGTAATGAATGATGTATAATCGGTAAATAAAACAGCTTAACACATCAGTGGATTAAAATCCTTGAATCAGAATCTCGTAACATATCAGAATCATATTCGTATTTGTAAACAATCATACGTGGTACATCCATTAGCAGAACAATACAGTTGACTAGAATAGTCATATTTAATGGCCATCAATACAGTTAACCTTAAAGCTTAGACAGTAGTTCCAAGAATTGGAACTGATAGAGATCTCTATAACAGTAGCAGTAGCAGTAACAATATTCATCTATAAAACTATCAATTCAGAAACATAGCATAACTTGTAATTCAGAAAATACTTTTAAATAAACATATCTTTATAGAGTTGTTACTCACAATTAGCTCCTTAGACAGATTGAACAGAATGAAGCGCGTGACCTACACAACTCATAACAAAGCTACATTAAAACACACATTTCGAAACTATGTTTTATTTAATTTAATCTTCTAATGTGTTTCTAACTCATTTCCTCGTTAACATTGTCTAAACAATTGCTTAAGAATGCTTGTGAGGGTATGGGGATGAAAATATGCATTTGGAAATGCATTGCCAAAATGCTAAAAACAGGGCAGTTTGCTTGAGTGCAACTTTGATTGCTCGAGCTGTCTGCAAACCTCTGCAAAACTTCTGGATGCTCGAAATCTAGGCTTGAGCCAACTTTTTGGTCACTTGAGCCATGTGCTATGCAAAGGTGAGTTCATTCGAGCACACACTTGGTCGCTTGAGCCAACTGCAAATGCCTGGAAAAATACTGAGAGCATGCAAAGTGCACTTAAGCGACCGATTGTTCGCTTGAGCAGTAAGACAGAATCCTAGAATTTCCAGAACAGAGTTGAGCTTTAAAACGTTTGGTTCCAAATCATAAACTTGCATGGCTCATTCTTAACTTAGAAAAATACTGAGAAACTCTTCAAAATCATGAATTTAAGATTAATTTGCAAAATCAAAGCTTAAAACCTTGTTAATTCTTTAATATCAAGTTCAAAACTTCAAAATGAAATCATGCATGCAAGGAAGTCTACTTCAATGGTCCCAAAAAAGTCTAAATATGAACAATTGAGTAGAATTCATGGAATATTCTCAAAATCAACAAGTATGATCTTCATTCATGTATGGATTTTGATAACCAAGCTTTAAAAGTGATGAATTGATGCATGCATGCCCATATTAAGCCACTTCTCACTATTTTCTAGTTGATTCAATAATTACTCCATCAATCTCTTAGTTTTCAACTTGATTACAGTTCCTAATTGGATTAAATTCAAGAATTGAAGGTGGAATTCATACCTAGAGTTGAATTTGGTGGCTTGCAAGCTTAATCTCCTAAATTCTCCCTTTTTCCTTTATTTTACTCTTGTCTCTCTCTAGGGTTAATCTCACTCCCTCTCTACAAGTATTTAGCTCAAAGGAGGATGAGAAAATGTCTTCATTAAGCTTATATTGCCTATATATATTTGGATTATATTAGGTTAATTAACCTAGCTTAGGTTAATTAATTCAGTTTAATTCAAATTATTTTGGTTCTGAATCAAATTCTAATTAAAATTACCATAAGATTCTAAATATTCCAATGGACCTATTGGCTTAGTCAATTTCGCTTTCTGTCGCCATTAAGGCCCTCAATTTTCATTTTATGTCAAAGTTCACAACAGATATTTCTATAGCTAATAGATATGCAGTCAATAATCATATTAAACACACAATTAACATAGAAGTTCACTTTAAGCACGTAATAAGTAATAATTAATAGTACATTACAGACCAGGGTTATTATAACAGCCGACAGTTTATTTGCACTAAACTGTCCGTTAAGTGATTTTTCGAGTCGGGTGAATCGGTTTCTTGAACACCCCTACTACTTCCCAAAACAACCCTCTTGATTATCCTTCGTCATCTCTAGAAGGATGAAGGATAATCACTCCCGTATCCATATGAAGGCTCCAATAAACCACTCAATCTATGGAAGGTAATGGTGTTGCCTCTGTTGTGATGGACAAACATATTTATCCCAGATTGATCCACTCCAGAAAGTGAAGGCATGATAAAAGCCTCGAATTGCTCACCACCTTTAACTTTATACCCAATATATTCTTCAACTTCTATATGGGTTCGCCAAACATAATCTCCACTACTCTCAGGGATGACAAAGAACAAGGTTGGGGTACAAGTAAAACTGATGTCATCATTTTTATTAGGAATTTTCTTAGTAATTTTATCAGTAATAATGGCGTATGGATAATCATCTAATTCCATGGAGCAACTTTCTTCATCCCCAGCTCTATAAAAAGCAACTCCCACATTGAAACTTGAATTGTAGTCATATATCCGCGGCGTTGTTAGCGCTTCTATCAAAGAATGCCCTGTTATTCGATGGAGGAACTTCCTAGGGAACTCCCTGTCACGAAGATGCTGTCATATGAATTTCTAATTAGTAGAGTGCTAGATGGAAAAATAAAAATAAAAATAAATAAATAAATAAAACTAAAATAAATTTGCGAATACAAAATCAACATCATAAAATGTAGGCAGAATAATTTGAGAGTGACACTGTATCTTTTATGATAAGTCCCACTCTTTTGATGTGATATGTATGATTAAGATTAGGTTGTGTTATTTATTCTGTATCCCCATAATCTTGTTTGAATTTTTTTTTTTGCATCAAATTAATACAGTGGCCAGTTTTAATTTTATCATTTAATATTAAAAGACTCATCAAAGTTATTTATATTTGAAAAAAATAAATGTTATATATGTCACATATGTTTTTATCATTGTTTTGTATTATTATCTACATGAATATTTATAATTAGCTCATTTGTTTAGAAATAATTATTAAGAAATTAATGAAAACAAATAACATATTGTCATAGAGAAAAGCTATATATGATCGATTATTTTTCATTATTTTGTGTCACCGTCTATATGGTTTCTTATGATTAATTCTCTTATTTGAAGATGATTATTAACAAATTAATGCAAACAAATGACATCTTTCCAAGTAGGTTGGTGATATAAAAAGATGATATAAACATGTGACATATAATCGTCTAATATATTATGATGTAGCTAATAAAAACAATGAAAAAACTAGTGAATCCTACTTTTAAAATTGTTATTGCCACATCATTCAAGTAAAAAATTTTGAATGAAAAATTCAGTAAGAGTAAGATATTATTTTCCATCTCTAATAGGCAACTCCTCTCTAGTCCACTGGTGTTGTTCAGGTCCATGGAATCCACCATAGGTTCTGTTCTATAATCTGAATTATTCATTTTGTTGGACACTTCATTTATTTCATTTCCACAAAAATTAAGTTGATAATCTAACCTATTTAATTTATTGCGCTTGTCATCAAAAAAATATAGTTTATTTTTAAAAACACAATGGTCACCTTTTTTTTTGTGACAAATTTGATAAATTGAATATATTATAATTGTCGGATCAATTTAATTTTTTTGTTTTGAATAAAATACACAAATACATGAAATACCCGATAAAATAATTTGAGACCGGATGGAATCCTCCACTTTTGGTATTATATAGGTCACATCTAAAATAAATTGGTTTCACACATATTTTCAGAGAGATTTTTTTTTTGCTAAATTGTTGCACTTGAGAGAGAGAGAGAGAGAGAGAGAGAGAGAGAGAGAGAGAGACCTGATGGAGATGTCGTAAATTGTTGAGCTTGTGCTTGCCAGAGGGAATGATTTGTGCACCTTTAAAACAGTGAGCATCTTCCATTCCATCCCTCTTACGATTTAAGAGAATATGCACAACTTCAAATTCGAAGTTACTCAACCTCACGAATAGATTCTTCAATTTTGATAGATCAGATATTTTTTCAAGTGATGCACAACCACAAACATCTAAGACAAGTAAATTAGGAGGAAGATTTGAGATAGATTGAAGACTTGTGCAGTCTTCCAACGAAAGGTTTTCTAGCTTGGATAGATGACTGACGCCATATGGCAGGCTATGAAAATTGTTTCTGTCTAAATCCAAGGTTCGCAATGAGGATAAACTCCAAATATTAGCTGGAAAATTTCCCTCAGACAGATTACGATCACAAAGAACTAGCTTTGTTAAGGAACACAAACCTGAAATAGAGGATGGTAACAATCTTATGGAGTCGTGATTTTTTCTCGGTAAAACCCAAGATGAAATAAGAGAAAACCAGGATTTAATTGTGAATTGCCTATTACATCCCTTCAACGATAAGCTCCTAAGATTCTTCAGTAGTCCAATAGAGAAAGGTAGTTGTTTAATAGCTGTTCCATCTGCAAGAAGCTCTGTTAAGCTTTCCATATGTCCCAAGTGCTCTGGAAACTCCTCTAGTTTTGCACAACCAGTGAGATTTAGATGTTTAACAGACTTTAACTTGCAAATAATGCCTGGAAGATACCTGAGGTTCATGCAATCTTTCAAATTCAAGTGAACAAGTTTATCTAGAAGCCCAATTGATTCATGGAGCTCCATTAAACCTGTACAACTTTCAAGCAATAATTCCTTGAGCATCGGTAGTGCATAGAAGATGGGGCTTTTTGTTAGGCATTTGGAATTACTGAGATTTAGAAATTTCAAGCTCTTGAAGTGCTGTTAAACCAATAAAAATATACAAAATTATATAAATTTTTTTTTTCATCATGATTCACTACATAATTTATCCAAATACCAAACAACAATGAATTTGCTAAGAATGTCATACCTTGCCATCTATCCGGAGTGTTTTAAATCTGCTGAATTGCATGTCTAAAACATGAAGCTTCTCTGGATGAAAATTGGATGGTAAATACTCCAATGGGCAGTTATGCCAACAAAGCCACCTTAACTCTTCAAATAGATGTTCAAAATTTCCACTGAGCTGCACATGATTTATTTGAAGTAGTCTTAACTTAGGCATCCTAGCAAATGCTTTATTACTCCATTGTATCTTCTTTAACATGGGTAGGATCAGGATCACACCTTCGACTGCTTCCGTTCCCTAAAATAGTAATATTTAAAAACAAAATGGAAAATTAAAAGGAAGAAAGACTATAAAATAACTGAAATTAGCATTCCAAGCCTAAAACTTACTAACTCACTAGAAAGAATTAAAATTCAACTCTTACCTTGTTTCTTTGGAGTACATAGCATACATCTTCATGAAGCCACAATCTACTGCGCTTTTCAGGCTCCTTGGGATATTTTTCACGAATAATCTCTCTTCCCATGTCCCTAACTAGATCATGCATCATCAACTTATTGTTTTCACTAATTCTCAGTAAACATCTACTAATCAAAACACTAATTCCAATTTCTGCGAAGAAACCACAACCATTCAATATAGTAATGACATAGTCTCTATCCATTTCAATGAAAAAGCATGCAATATCAAGGAAGATATCCTTTATGTTATCATCTAGTGCATCAAAACTTATCCTAAGTTTTTCCTGAATTTTCTCATGAGGAATTTGTTGTAACTTATCAAATGCACTTTTCCATTCTACCAGGTTTCTTCCAAACAAATAAGAACCCAAAACTTCAAGAGCTAATGGCAGCCCACTAGCATAACTTACTATACCATTTGCAAGATTTGCATAATTTTCTAATGGATTGGTTTTGCCAAAGGCATACCAACTGAAAAGCTGCAGAGACTCTTTCTGATTCAATTTCTTAGCCATGTATCTTTCATAAACTTTCAGTCCCTTCAACAAGTGCTCATCTCTAGTTGTTATGATGATTCTACTTCCTGGACCAAACCAATCACGGTTTCCTGCCAAGGAATTTAACTGATTTAATTGATCCAAATCATCAAGAACAATGAGAACCCTTTTAGAATAGAGCCTTTCTTTTATCAAATTCATTCCTCTATCAACATTGTCAATCTTTAGATTCTTTATTCCTAATAATTCAAAGAGAAGTTGTTCTTGCAATTGAACTAGGCCATTGAGTTGTCCTGCAAATTCTCTAACATTTGCAAGAAAACAACTCCCTTCAAATTGGAGGAAAATATGGTTATACACAGCTTTTGCAATGGTCGTTTTGCCTATTCCACCCAAGCCGTATATCCCAATCATGCGAACATCATCTGATCCAATGCTCAACAACGACTTTATGTGTATAACACAAGAATCTATTCCAACTGGGTGCACAGCAACATTTAGGAATGTATGTTTCAGTTCACATAGAACCTCTTTAACAATTTTTCGGATGAGCTTTGCTTCATGCCTGTCAATTTCGATCCAAATTAAAAGTAAACCAAGTGTATATCACAAAAATACAAAGCCTTACAAACCCCACTTCCAATATGCACTTAATAAATGTAAAATTCAATACATCTTGAGCTTACAAAGTGAACTAACTATACTTGAATTTTTTTATAAAAAAAAAAAATATTAAAAACAATAAGGATTGGATTTTCTAGTTAAAGATAAAAATTGATAGCAGCAGCAGCAGAAAAATTAAAAGAATGTTAAAACGTTACCCATTTGCAACATTTTGCAAATCCCAGCCTGATAAATTAGCAGCGTCAAAGAGGGCATCCCTCCTCACCTTCACCTTCACCTTCTCCATCTCATCCGCAAAACGCTTTTGGTGTCTTCCAAATGCTTCTCCAAAATGCCCTGTTTGGTGCCGTATATCAGATGGATCAACATCATAGAATATTGGGAGAAGTAATTGTCCAAGTGTTTTCTTGCATTCAATGATCTTCACGAGCTCATCCAGGCACCATCTTGAAGAAGCATAGTTTTTTGAGAAAACAACCATGGAGATCCTGGATCCTTCGATTGATTTGAGAAGCTCTGAAGAAATTTCACGCCCTCTTGGAAGTTCATCATCATCCCTGAAGGTGCGAATTCCAGCTTGAACCAAGGCCTCGTAGAGATGATCGGTAAAGTTTTTGCGGGTATCGTCACCTCTGAAACTCAAGAACACGTCATAGGTCCAGCGAGTTTGTGTCGAAGATGATGAAGAAACAAAACAAGAAGAAACATTTCTCTTTTTTGGGGCTGGAAAACAAGAAGAATGATCTAAGGTTCTTTTAGAAGCCATGGATGAACCCAAAATCAAATGAATTGTAGGGAGGAATATAAGTGAGTGAACCGGGTGACTCTGCAAAAGGTCAGAAAGCGTTATTTGCAAGCACTACTATCTGATAGGCTTTGATCTTAAAATATATGGACGGAATGCTGTAGAGAGTTCAAATAAAATAATAATAAAAATTTACGGAATAAAAAAAGATTAATCTTTGTTGTGAGCAATAAATCTCACCTATGATTTCAAATTAAATTTCTAAGTTTTTTCTTAAATTTGAAGACCCACTCACCTAATAGTTAACCAGTAAACACTCCATCTTTCTCTCATGTTTCCTACCTCTTTCTCGCCCTCTTTCTCTATTTCTGAAATCCGAAGATGGCGGTCGGTGTCGGTCGGGTGCAGTGAAGAACACGTCAGTATGAGTGGATGATGATTTCAAAAAAAAAAAAAAAAAAAAACCAATAGACCTAATATATGTCAAAATAGTTACAAATCTAAGAGATCTTATCAAAATATTTACAGATCTGAAAGAAATCAACCCCAATAGTTACCGATCTTAAAAAAATAACCAAAGTAGTTACAGATCTAAGAGAGATGTACCAAAATAATTCTCTTCCCTCTACAAAATAGTTACAAATCTGATGCTCTGCCTTCTACTTGTGTTCGTTGATGATGAAGAGTGTCTGACGGTGATGAGTTCGACAAAAATATTGAAGATAATCAATAGAGGATAGATTGATGAGAGGAGACAACCATCGTAAGAGATTAGTAATGGAAAGAGATGTCTGGAAGTGGGGGCAAAAAACAATGAAAGAGATGAGGAAAAAAACCAGAAGAGACTAAAATCTCAAAAGCATTGAAAGAATATTGGGAGATGAGGAAGAGAGAGAGAGAGAGAGAGAGAGATGAAAAGTCCCAAATGTATTGAACGAACGAGAGAGAAATGTGCGTCGGTGGATGAGGAGGGTGAGGGCCGAAGATCACCAGCATCATATATGTATATGTATATATATAATATGACAGATGGATTTTTGAAAAAATATAGGTAGTTTTTGGTTATTTTCAAAATTCAATTCTTTTTTCAAATCATCATTTGAATTAAAATTAATAATTCATTTCTTCTTTCTTTTCTCAAATTTTTTCACACTTAATTAAAAGTGACATAAAAAATAAATATTATCACACTCAATCAGATTAAGTGTGATTAAAAATTTGAGAATTTTATATTTTATATAAAAATCAATTTAAAATATTTTATACAATCACACTTATTTAAAAAGTATGATTAAAAAGTAGTAATGTATATATAATCACATTTTAATTACATTGTGTGATTAAAAAATATATAAATAACCACACTTTAATTAGAATGTGTGATTAAAAAATATATAAATAATCACACTTATTTAAAGAGTGTGATTAAAAAGTAGTAGTGTATATATAATCACACTTTAATTAAAAAAAGTGATTAAAAAATATATATATAATCACACTTGTTTAAAAAGTGTGATTAAAAAGTAATAGTGTATATGTAATCACACTTTAATTAGAAGG